AAGAGCATGTTCTCGTGGTTACTTATCCATACTGCTCTTTCTCCCTACTTCTAGGACCTGTTTAAAGGCTTCTGGCGCCTAATGACAAACTAAGAGCCTGAGCACCTATTGAAACCCTGCCTTGAGGTCGGGCAGTTTGTCTTCTGTATGGGAGTAGCTGCCTTTACTCTGCTGGGTAACTTCTCTTGTCTTGTGTCCTCAAGGACGAAAAAACATGGGTTACTTGGGCTTTCATCAACACTTTAATGCACTTGTCCTGGCTACCCTTGGGCAGATTTTTGCTTAAGCCACGTGCAGACTTCAAACCTTTCAGGTTTTAGAAAAGTAGGAAGAACATAGAAATCTAAGAACTGAAGAATACAACTGAGTTGTTAAGGTAACTCCTCACCTTGCAGAGCTTGTAACTCCAGCGGCGCAAATCCAGCACTCAATACAATTGGATTGGTACACTGTATAAAAACTCAGCAGTGGAGTTAGGCAGCTCAGGTAGCACAGTTCACTGAGCTGCACAGTTTATGAAGAAAGCCCTGTACGTGGGAAACAAGGTGAACAGACGTAGGTGCCTGAAGTAATAAAACACGCAGTTCAGTCAGTAGATGATGCTGATGGATAATGAAAATACCCTACCTGATATGCAAAACGTGAATGTGAGAATGCACGTGTATGTGTAAAAATAGGCCGGGTGCGTCTGCAGTCAGTCCGTCGCAGCAAGGCAAGCGCAAGAAGCACTGCGTCAGATGCGCCCGCAGCCGCTTTTGGTCGCTGCCGATGAGTATCTTGGAACTTTCTCCAAAACAGCGCAGGCGATAAAGAAATGAGTATGCAAACTTTTTCTATTTCTCATGTACTTTATCAGCGAGATGGCACCTAGATGGACAGCAGATGTTGTCTTTTGTGATGCAGATGAGGCTGTTGGAGCAGTGCAGCTGATAATGAGCTCTGTGTATTGTTACGAGATAGGGCTGCCAGGCAATAACCACGTAAGAGCCCTACTAACAAACAGTTCCCGTGCAGAGACGGGGTCTGTCTCCTCTGAGACAATGGGTCAAATCATATAATTTCTAGCCTTCATTCAGGAAAAACCTCTTTTAATTTCAGTAGGAGCTTTGACTTTGTCTGGAACACAGGATTTGGCCTTTAGAAATAAACAGCTATTCTGAAAGTGTCAAACAAGATTGCTCAGCTTTGCCGGTAATTGGAGTGGAGTATAAGCAATAATTAGTAGGCAAAAAATAAAAATAATTAGAATAGTTAGGAAATAGCTTTACTAGTTAATATGGAATTTGATGAAATGTTAGGTTGACATCTAACATTTTTTATTTGGCAGGACAGTTTACAATCCTGAATAATCCATTTAGTGTATGAAATAATGCAAGTACACTAAATATTGGGCTACTGCCAGTCAAATACTTGGCCCAGAAGTGCTTCTTGTAAGCTGGTCCATATAGAAACCAGAATTTTTACTTCATAAATGTCTGCATCGTTATCCCCTTCTTTATATGGGACAGCAAATTGGCATGAGGTAACTTGAGGAAGTATTTGCCGGTAGAACAAGACTATAAATCCTTGTAACAACAATAAGAGGACTAACTTCAGTGGACTTTTGAGCAGCCCTTTCATTTCTGGAGTGAAATATTTCTTCCTCACAGGAATGGACACACCAAGACATGACATCTGAAAAAAATAAAAAAAATAAAATTAGATATCCCCTGTTATGGTAGAGGAAATGTTGAATCTGGTTCTACAGTTCTTAGACAAAATTCCTGATATCTGTATGCAAGGCGTAGCTGTGATTTAGTGAACTGTGTGGTATGTGATCCATGAAGAACTTGTTCACGAGGGAGACGTTTTTATGGTCCACTAGGTATTTGTTTTATCACTTATTCCATCAGAATCGGAGGAATTTGGCCAGGTTTTTAAAATCTGAGTGGGTTAGGGGAACTTTCGTCAATGCCTTATCTGGCAAGATTTTGAAAGGTGCGTGTCCCGTGTATATATAGGGCAGTAAGAGGCTGCACTCTGAACTGTGCAGAATCTGGCCTCTGCCAGTGCCACCATCAGCAACTGACCATGGGGGCACTACAGCATTAGAACAGAATTTTGGGCAATTATTAGCAAATATGTCAATTATTTGTAGGTACTACTTGTAATTTCTGTAATGTTTACATACGCCTTCCCCGTTCTGGAGGGTTTATCATTCATCTTGGTTTTCCCCGGCTCTCTCTTGGAATACAAGAGACTCTTATGATCTGGACAGATTGCAGGTACATAAACATGTTCTTTCCATTATTTGTATGTGTTAGAGGGGTGGGAGCGGGGATGGGGATTTTTATAAGTAGCCTAAATTAAAGTGACTTCAGCCTGACTATGAAATTAATAGAGCTATCAAAAAATCCACTGTCATTATACAACAATTGTTAATTATTTACAAGCAAACTTCTGCAAGAACAGCATTGTAGCTGTCAGCATTGTCATTATTAAAATTAAAATGCTTTGAGTAGAAGATAATATGACTCATTTAGGCTAAATGCAGTGAATACTGAAGATTCTGTTTCTCCTCGCCAATTAGTCGGAGAGAGAACAATAGCATCTCTCTCTCCTACCACGATGTTTATTCAAAGACTAACAAGTTAGATACTAACGAATATCTAACAAAATAAATATTTTCAGGGCTTTGTTTAAGAAGGACACAAATTCATTGTAGGTATTGCAATAAAAGTTAAAGCCAAGGGTTTTTTTTCTAGGATGGGGGGGAAAACTATTTACAGTGACTACATTTTCAGATAAAGAAATAGGAGTCCAAAAAGATTTTCACATATGATATGATGTTGTTTGACATGTGCTTTATATGCTTTAGAGTCATGAGTTGCTCAAGTACTCTTTGCTATCTCTGATTTCATTTGTGTTTCCAAACATATCCAGGTCGAAGGGTAACTTCTTCTGATCTTCCTGTAGTTGATCATAATTTTTTTTAAAAAACAGCAAGTGGGGTGTCGAACTTTCAAGAAGACTACGCGGGGTGGCTTGTGTCCCTCTTCCTGCGGTTGTGTATTCTTTTGCATGCAATTTGCACTAGCTAATGTTTCGTTGTTTTAGTGACACTAATGGTGTATGTCAGTGAATCCATCCATGAAAAATTAGAAGCAAAAGAAATGAGGTATGAATATATCAAGGTTGTAAAGGGTGATGCTAGCCCGGCAAGTTTGTACAGATCAGAAGGGACTGAAGCGTCTAGCTAGAGAAGTGCCATGTCATGCTGTCTTTCCTCACAGTAATGCCATCGGTGGTCTCTTCAAAACCTGTTTGGGTTTCTCCCACCTGATCCTTACTTTGCTGCTGTGTGTTCTCCAGCCTACTGTCTTTGCTGGTTTTCTTTTGGGCTGATCAAATGATTCTGGGAGCAGAGCACGCTTGCTTCGGAGTAAGGGAACCGCGGTCCACCTCATGGCATTAAGAGAATGAGTTGTCTGAGAAGACCCCTTACCCTTTTCAGCATAGTTATCAGAAGATGGCTTCGCTGTAGATCTTCTGAGGACTGTGCTTATCTGTGCCTGTAGTGGTGCTTGAACAAGTACAAAAATAGTTTGTTTTTCTAAGTTTTCTTCCATATGGAAAAATTAAGATTGTCAAACACCGCGGGGGGGAATGTTGCTTGGGTGCTATTAGAAATCAAAAGTAGGCTTGCAGTGAGTGAAGGAATCAATCTGTTAACTCATACTGTACGATGAGTTATTTACTCAACTCATTTGCAGAAATAAAATCCAAAATCCTCAGTTACGCTCTCCTGGACTAATGGTTAGGCCACGCTTCCTCTTGAAACTTTAAGTGTCTTGTTTAGAAAACAATTTGTGGATTGAGAATTTTTATATTCTGCTAATGACTTTCAAGTTTTGAATATTCGCGTAGAGGTGGGAGAGAAGCAAGCTGTGTTTCATAAAAATCCTAACTTGGAAGGAAAATACAGAGAACACATAATCACGTTTTATTTAACAAAATTTTCTTTAGCATCATTAAAAGTAAGTGTTCATCCACCATTCATTTTGTGTTTGGTTATAGAGGCTGTGGTGGAATGAACAGGAACAAGAGAGCTATTCCAAGTATTTACTATTAAAAGGGAGGGTGGATAGGACTGAATGTGGATTCTATGGAGCAGATTTTTAAAATGTATAATTTGTAATCCTCCCTTTACTGCAAAGGGACCAAAGCTCTAACAAGAATGGTACAAACATGCCTCCTCATTATCTCTGGGCAAAGAGTCTTTCTGTCTTCCCAGTAGCTGGCTAAGAGTGCTTGACCTTCCAATCTGACGTTCTGAGAGTTGGTTCGTTTGATATTACTTTGCCTGTTATTAGAAAAATGTCAGTGCTGGGACACTGCCAGCACGGGTTGGCTCCTATGCTTTCACGCATGTGGTGAACATAGCCCAGTATCAGTTCTAAAGGGAACATCATGCAGGTCCGCATGTAGGGTAGGCTTCAGTTAGGGTCAATTCGTTGGGAATCTGGAATTCCTTTATTAAAGAAAAGGAGAAAAATTCACAGATGTGCTTAAAGTGGAAGGAAAGTGTGTTCTGCTTGTGTGCAGAATGCTGCAAGAATTATTTAGAAATTACTTTTCTGTTACAGTTGCCAAGCTTTGGACGTAGTCTACTGGGTGTATCAGGTCCTGAGCATTGGTTTCGCTTGGGCAATTGCACTTTTTGAAGCCTGTCTAAAGTTCTGTGATTTGGTGAGATGTGACCAGTATCGGTTGAAAGGATTTATTTCTTCTAAAGTGTCCTGTTCTTTCCTGACTGTTCTTTTGGCTAATCTTCCCCCAAAGACGCGGAAAGGGTCCAAACTTCTGCCTGATTTCTGAGAAGAGGCCCCGTCAGTTATATTAACTGCTACGATTTCCTTGTTACTCTTAAGCAAGTTATTAATTAACTGAATGTAACCACTGGCTGTTGATAAATCCTTTTAGCTAATTCAAATTCCATATCGAGCTCAGAGTATTTTCGCTCAAGCTGCTGCTGAAGTTGAGCTTTCTGAAGGATTGGTTCTGATCTGGTTTTGAGCGTTAGAGTTGGGGGAGAACGGAGAGAAGATATTTGTTTGCTTGATTCCACATGACAACTCCAGGGTAACTGAATAGACTGTACGGTTGGTTTGATAAGGCTATGCAGTGAGCCAGCAGCCTCACATACCAGAGACGGGGGGCTGGAAGGGGGACTGACAACTGTAATGGATTTTTATCAGAATTTCTCTAAAGACCGACAGTTTGCCTTCACTTACTAATGTTTTTCAGAGGTTTCCCTTCTGAGAGGTATGAATTACTAACTTTAACATGCATTCGTGTAGCATTTTCAATCATGAATAAATTACTGCATCGAAAGAAGTTTAGTACATCCAAATATTGAATAATGGAAGAAGTTTTTGAGAGTGTGGGAAATGTAGTAGTGTAACTTTTACGGTTTTCTATGTGTATGCAGGTACTATGATTATTACATGTATAAATGTATTACAATAATGTTTGTGAAAAACATGTTGCAAATTAGCTTGAAGTGCTGTAGAGAGAAAAAGCAGTGGCTATGTATCTTGATGTACTACAGCATATGTGTTAATCCTGCCGTGTTCTTAATTCATCTTGGGGCTCACCAGCGTTTTGTTTTCCTCCCCATCCTCAAAAAGCACTTTGTGCCCAGTGATGTAGGATTATTGCCTTACATCTGAAGAAAACGCAGACTAGAGAAGGCATTGGCCCTATTAAAACATGCACTGAAAACAAGCTGGAGCAGATTGCCAGGCACACGGAAGGGACCTTAGGACACTCGGCGATTGTTCAGTGATTGATATCGTAGGAGACTTTGAGGGACAGTGATTTTGTATTTATTCTTCTAGTTGAATTTTTGCTTTGAGCGGAATTCTTAGAGCCCTCTTCCTGTAATCTCCCTCTGAATGCTCTGCTCTGTTTATGCTCTCTTTTTTGATAGAAATATTTTTATACATTTTGTAAAATTTGGTAACAAGTCCTTTTCCTGTAACAGCACTGGGTAGTGTTGAAAATTCATCACAAAGGTGAAATCTCATCGAAGAAACACTTAAAAATACAAGCTTTTGGCAGCATCACCATGACAATGAGTGTATTGGTATTTGTTCTGTGATACTGCTAATATACTGTAAGTTGTATGTTGTTTATTTTAAGCACAGTATTTTGTGCTTACCAAGCTATTTAGAAATGGAATTCTTACAGATCTGTCTTACTGATATTTAAAAAATGATAAGTTTTATGAAGTGTCACATACAGCATCAGTGTATTTTGAAGCACAGCAGTCAAATTTAAACCTTTATGATATTTTTAATATACTGAGAATTGCAGAAAACTGTCTCCACAGTGTATAGGTTATAAAGTAGACATTCTTTTAAATATACCCTTTTTTTTTTTTTTTTTTGCATCAAGATATAAACTGTTTGCAAAAGCAACACTTGGGAAGTTTATAGGTACCCCCTTCACTTCTGTGTGGCTTGTTCTGCGTGAATTGCGCCTCCAGAACCACCTCGGGGGTCCGTGGAATCTGATTTACTTAAAGCAGCATCTGACTTCTAAAACCTAAGAATTAAACCAGTTTATCACAGGAGAGAATGTTTGCCCGCATGCCAGTTTACATTTCTAGGAAGAATACTGAACTTATTTCAAAACAGGAAAAGTAGCAGAGCCTTGCAATTCTAGTAAAGCGATGTATCTTAAAAGAGGCTGTATAATTCCTCTGGACGTTTTACAGTTGCTTGCAGTAAGAGTACTGTTTCCTTTTACATGAGAATTGGATGTTGAGAGCAAGTCAGTTCACAGCTGCCATGAGCGCAGCAAGGTGTTTCATTAGCAAAAAAATTTTTTAACCGTACCCTAATTAGTAGACTTGGAAATTCATTGTTTCATCATCGGATCTAGCCTAGCATCCACGGGATTTTTAGATGACATGAAGTGTGGAAACCTGTCATGACAGAAAAAAACCAGAGAGGCATGCTGGAAACAATGGTTGTCTTGTGGGAAGAGTTTAAATATATGCAGCTGATCCCATGGGAACTGCTGTAGTCTATTCACCCTGTGTGAAAATGATGCTCTTTCAAAATAATCTTTAATCCTTTTCTTTCACTGAAAAATGTGAGAACTTTATTTGAAAGTTTCAAAAGAATGCTCTATTTTAATAAATACTCTTCAAACGTAAAAGTAAAATTATTAATGTAACATGGAGGAGAAGTTGTCCAAAATATCTTGTGATGTTTTGTTGTGATAATCATAAATCATGTATGAGAATGTCCTTGGAAAATGTTCAAACCAAAACTAAACAAGAAATGTATCCAGGCTTGCTTTTTCCTGGATGGCTGCACGTAGGGAAGGATGTATCCAGCAGTCTCGGAGATATTATGAACTTAGATAACTGAGGTGTATGCTTTTCCACAAAACAATTTTTTTTTCCTGGGATAGAGGAGAAGCCTTTCAAGAGAAGGGAATCCTGTCTTATACACAACAGAAAAGTTTGCTTTGAAGACCGTTCTAGTCTTCCTCCTATTTGTAGGCAAGTAAAATAAAACTAAACATGCAGTTGTTGAAAACATTCACCCTCCACCCCCAGACAAAATGTAAATCTAACCCTCTCTTTGTTCAATCCATGCACATGTGAATAACTTCGCAAACTCCCACAGGGTTTAATAGGGCTGCTGTCCTATCTGTTTTTTATAGGGCCATGTCCTAAAAATTAAATCCTGCTTGGTGAAATGCACAGTCTTATTCCTGGCTGTATCATGCAGCCTGTATTTTTATAGTCTGCATACAGAGTGCTGAAAGGCAAAGAGTTACTGATACTGTTTTGCTTTCCCGTAGCTGCTTTCATCCAAGGCATCCAAAGCACTTCATACAATCCAGTGCATTAAGCATGGCAACATGACTGTGAGGTAAGGAAATTGATTTTTTTTTTCCTTTTTATAGAGAGAATAATCAAAACACTGAGGCTGTGATTTGGCCAAGATCACCACGGTAAAGCAGGGCCTCCAGCCTCCCAGTCCTTTAACGCAAGTCGCCTAATTTTAGCGGCATTCTTCTCTGTGACCATCTTCCTGTCCTGTGTAATTTACTTTAAATTACTGTTTAGAAACGGGTCTTGCATAGTTCTGAGCTTATATCTTTTAGGTTGTTGGGGGTTTTTTGTTTTGTTTGGGGAACGTGAAGGTCATCTTTTGTTTATCAAAGAATTATTGGCTCATGTGGTGACTTGGTCCCTAAGTAAAGACCAAGAAAGAGCAACTGGAAACGCTCCAGTCCTGAGCTAGGCTGCAGCATGTGAAGAGAACCATGTGCTGCGCCGCGGCCAGCTCTGTGCGGTACCGAGGAGAACGGGCTTTGCGAAGTGCTGAACGGATCCCGCCACGCAACCAGTCGCCCCTTGGGAACACTGGCTTGCCACTGGTTTTGGAGTATAGTATGTCATCGGTGTGGCCCAAGCGAGGTGGTGATTTGTACTCGCCAGCCCGTTGTCTCTTGATGTAGACTGGCTTTGAGAGCCTGCAGGGAGTGCTGCTAACGGCTCTGGATTGGTGGATTTTAGCAAGGGGATGAATTAGCTCAGAACTTGGTGCTGTGCGTTTAACCTCCTCCAGAAGTGAGGCCATAAAGTGGCATGCCGCATTACGTACAAGTTCCCTTACAAGTTTAGTTCAACAGTGTAATAGTATTTAGGTGTCTCTTGCTTTGTGATTGAGTGATTGAGGAGATGCTGTAAGATTCACTTAACGCTAACTGCGGATGGTCTATGCTGCTTGAAATTTCTTAGGTATGTTGTGAGGTTTTTCTCATGTTTATATTACTTGGAGAAAAACTTAAGTTAACAATATCGAGACACAGGTCTTCAGAGTTTCCCCTTTTGTTTCCAGTGGGATAGCACCATCTGGGTAGAATCTAGTAACCGTACTTCCATTATGAATCCTTTGAAAATTAAGGAGTTGATACTAATTTCTTGCAGAATTTGCCTCACTATAAATCTAACTTTTTGGTCTGCCTCTTGTCTTTTTGATTTCAAAGCTTCTTTTTTTTGTTTATTTGTTTGTACTTCTAATGTCTATCAGCAGAATCTGAATTCCTGATAAAACTGTAGGACTCAGGCTCTCAACTCAGAGTTCAACTGGCTCTTGGATGCCCTTAGGTCCAACTGCCCTTTTACATGGAATTTCTATTGTTTCTCCTCCATTACTGGAGGAATTATTTTGCAAACAGGCCGATTCAACTGCTTCAAGCTCTGAAACCTGTCAGGCTAGCTTTTATTCTGATTGCTTCTGATAAGGAGCTTTGGTAAGAATGCTGTGCCTCCAGCAAGTCAGAGACTCCCCTCGGAGGGGAACAGCTTCAAGGTCCCAGGGAACGTGTGACTCTCAGTTTTCCATGAAAAGGGGAACTAGGTGCTGAAAACCAGAATCGGAACTTTGAGTGAGATGTGGGACTGCACCACGAACCAGTGGAAATGGCCTGGGTTATATGCTGGGTCTGCATGATGATGATTTGTGAAAAGAGCTGAAGCCACCGCTTTGTTTTGACCGTATGTTCATGTGGGTCCCTACTGCTAAATCCCACAAGCAATGCAACGATGCGGATGGAGCCAGACAGGAGTTAAACTTCTGCTGAGAACTTTTGTCTCTTTTTGTTGATTGTGTACACGGGATCCAAATATAAGACTGATCGGTGTTGATCTGGCAGATATAGTAATCTCTATCCTAGCTGAACAAGAAGATACTGATAGATGATACGAAATCAAGCTGATGAGGTGCTTCAGGAAACACCTCTGAAGTGATTTTTATCATCCAACCCGACTCTATTGGGGGAGGAGGAGGAGAGAAGAGTTAAGAGAGATATTTTACAAGATATGCGTTATGCTTTTCCTTCTCCTTAGTACCAGCTACCTATTAGTAGGAAACAGAATGAGCTTGTAGTGAGCAAGGAGGATACTTTAAGGACAGTTTCTTCCTTAGGAAGGCTATACAAGATAAATCTTTTCAGCACTGTTACGTAATGTAAGTATTAAGAAGATTTGCTATAATTCCATTTCAAAGAGCTTATGGTAAGTAAATGTTTTTCAGTATTGTCCTTAATGTTGTCTATAAAAAAAAAAAAAAAAATTACATTAAAACAAACTGTTCATAAGAGAGAGGCGGGGAGGCCTTTCTGAGAAACTCTCCTTATGCAGGAGCACATTGAGTAGACTCTCTCTCCCGACAGCTCACGAAGAGGCTGCCGTGTTTCAGCGCGGCTGATCAAAGGGAGGCTTTGCTCCTGAAGCATCCCCGTAAATTATACGTGTGGATTTTGTAATGAAAGTTATGAAAGGGATTGTTAAAAGCCAAAATACATTACAGACCCTCTTTTGTAGTTGTGTAGAGTGCTGCAGAACGATCACGTTTATTCTTTTGGAGAGAACATGTCTTCTACGCTGAGTTCGTTCACTTGTTCTTTTTCTTTCAAACGGTGTGAGCTTACCGAGGGTTTGTGTTTTTTTTTTTTTTTACATCCTTCCCGGGGAAGGATAGCTTTCCACTAACACAGAGAGTTCTGTTTTCTCTATTAAAAACAACTGCGCTCAAGTGGAGTAGGCTTTGTATTTTGTCCGAGGAAACAGAGCATTTCATTCAAAGATAAGGCCTCTGCATTTAAGTTCTTTCTAGTCACCTGTCTGAGCCGTTGGTAACTTTTAGGCTGCCTTAGTCTGCATTCCTGGCATTCCTTACTCCTGGCACTGCAATTAACAGCTTCAGGTTCACTGCTTGGAGTAGATTCCATAACTTTCCACTTGTTATGCCCTTGGATGTTGCCCGTGGTAGCACAAGAGCAAAGCAAATAGTCTCTTTCAAAGAAAACAGACTTTTCATCTGTAAACGTCATTAAGGATGTCGTTGTGGAGTCGTGAACAGGTAAAAAAAAAAAAAAATCAGTTTGTGTCTGTGGCTTTTCAAAGTGTTGTTTTCAAATCTGGGAGCTGCTGAATGAGTACAGTGGGCCCAATGCCCTCTGTGCTTGCACCATCACCTTCAGTTCAGTGCCTGGTGATTTATATCATAATGATGATCAGCAGAATCTAGCCTGTTCGGCTTTGGGTTTTGGAATTTTATCGGCTCTTATCTGCTTTTGTCTTGCTGTAAATCAAGCAATAATGTGCTGTAACGATACTAATAGATTTAGGGGAATTAAAAAAAAAAAAAAAGTAAAAGTAAGCTTATGGCAGATCAAATGCAGTGTGCTGAATATTGTATTAAAATGGAGATTGCTTCAGTGAAAGATTCCCAGAAAGCCCTCAGCGCTTTGCATCAGTTCTGCCCTTTGTTTGACTTTGACATTTTTTTTTCCTGAAAAATAGCATAAAATTAGGTTAATGGGCATTAAAATTACCCTGTATCTCAAATAACAAGTATAGCTGATCTGGTATGCTACAACATAGTACTTTGTAAACTCCAGAGATGAATGCAGATGAGCTGAGTTTGGCCATGAATCCACGTGAGTCACCTGGAAGGCTTGCTTACTAGATCTTTTGCTCTCCTATGAAATTCAGCACGTATTCTTTGTGATATGAACGAGTAAAGTTGAAAGAGGGCAAGATCGTCTTTGTGACAGAACGTTTGTATTTTAGGTAATGTTTGGATACATGTGAATTAGATACGTATATATGAAGAACTTCCTAACAACCCCTGATGTGCTCCAGTTGGACAGACTGAAGCAGGCGTGAGGTGTTTGTACCTGGTTGAATTTGGTTTAATGTGGCTCTGCACAGGTATAGCAGTTTCACTTATTGCAGACCTATGTGAAAAATCTGATGTTTGATACCTTAATTTGACTGTTACACCTACGCAGCCCCTTCATTATTCTGTTTAGATTATAAATAGCTTATTCATCATAAGACTCTTCACTCTCCTAAATTTTACTTCAGCTATTACCTGTCAAATCTCAAACATTTTTCTTCTTTTTCTTATATAAAGCTACAGGGAAATTCTACTCACTGGAAATATGGAGCTGTCATTTAAGCAATGTATGCAAACGAAGGCAAACTGATCCAGTTTTAGCAACTGCTTTTCTAGTGCAAAACATCTGAAACTAACTCCAACTCTTGAATAAACCTATCTTATATAATGTGTATGTGTGTGTATATATATACACACACATTATGTATGTATATCCTTTGTATTTAGGTAAACTTACTTTAACTCAGAAGGGAATTTTGACTAACAAAACAGCAAATAACCTTCTTCACAGTTCTCTGAATGTTGCTACTTATCTCCTCACGCTTCGTTATAAAGAAAATAGTCATGAAATGGAAGACGCTTGTTGGTGTGGCTTATTATAAATAACTTGAAGGAGTGAGGCTGATCGTTTGTGTACTAAAAAAGGGCCACCGCTAATGCAATTACAGCAAAGGGAACTTAAGGTGATAAGTCAGGCAAAGCTTGCTCAGCGTGAGATCCGTTAAGCTGTACAGTGGCTTCCTGGGAAGAGAGAGGCATTCCAACCTGATGGTACCTACTCTGAATTTTAAAAGTAGACTGCACATAACGCTAGGAAGTGTGCTGTTGCACACACAGGTGGTGAGAGTAGAGGAAGTCTGAGAAAAAAAAGTTATGTTTTGCTTTCCCCCAAAAAAGATTTCGGAAAGTTCTAAGTGATCGTGTAACCTATCTTTTAATGCATGTCTTGGTATGCTCTGAGCCGTGTGCTGTGTATTTTGTTTCCCCTTCTGACTGATGCAAGCTGAGTGTGCTTCTGCTTGGTGTGGCTATTACGAGTGCTTGCGAATGTACTTTATTCCTTATATGGTTTATTCCTTTCTCTGTACAGCTTCAGCCAGGAGGCAATTTCCACCACTGCCTTTCCCTCTCCAGCTCTATCTGAAGCACTAGCAGCCTGGGGAGCGCCCTGCACGTAGGCTTTTACCTCCTCTGTGAGCTGGGAGAGCAAACATTGGCCCCATTTCTGAATTGCTCTCTAGCCTGTCATCAACACCGTACGCTCAGGTGTTCTGCAGCAACTCTTCTGTTGTGCGCTGTAGGTCATTCATTCCACTCGATGTGGACATCCAGTGGCTTTGCTTCTTACAGTTTCAGCCCTTTTCTTCAGGCCTTCCTTGTCCGAGGACTTGGAGTCCGGCTTGCCGCATGCCAACTTTCTCAGGCCGTGGGAGCTCTGCTGCTGTTTCTCTTGTTCCCGGATCTCTGAGGAGATCACAAGTTTTTCTTAATCCTCATTTTAAGACTCCCTCTCTTTCCTCTACTTAGAGTATGTCCACAGCTTCCTCTTTGCTTACTGGGTTTCTCTGTCATCGTGAGTAGGGCGGGTGGGAAAGCGTGGGAAGTGCAGGAGTACAGTCCCCTTTCCCCTTTCCCACACATGGGGCGTCACCCAGACTTGGAAGACGCCTGGTGAGACATCCGTTTGACCTAAAAAAGGCTCTTACCTATCTCGGCAGTCTCCTAGGAAGGGGCCCACATTCCACAGGATGGTGGTGGTGGGGAGGACCTTGGGCTGGCTGTCCTCTCCCTTCGTGTGCAGGGCTCCCTGAGGCAGCATGACTGAAGTTAGGGATAACGGCCCTCACCTAGAAAGTGGAATGAGCAGAGGAGCCCCACCAGCATGAGGAAAGCCTTGGTAATCCCAGAATACCAAACTGCTTTTCTGTGAAATGTGGAAAAAATAAATCTCTCCTATAATTAAGGCAAATATCTCCTCTGGGGTGCTCTTATCATCAGAGGATCAGGGCACAAGTGTGGTACTCTCTTCTTTTATATGTGTCAATGGTACTAAACCTAGGTCCCTGCTTCTGCTCTGCTGTTGTAAAATTCCCCAAGCAAAAAAGGAGTGCATAGTTTCAGCTCAAGAAAGTGTTAATGTTTTACCTGGGTTGGGAAAACTGCAGGTATCATTTTGGCAACAAAGCTGACTGGTTTTTTTCTAGACAAAAATTATCTTTAGAGTCTTACGAATAGCGTAGCTCTGGGGTCAAGACACGAGAGCCCAGAGAACAAACTAAGCGATTTCACCCACCTGCTCTAGGTCTACGCTATTATTGTCTGAAGAAAGAAGGTTTGTAATCCTTATCAGTTAGTCAAGTCAACGTCCTTCTCAGGACCACCTTCTCAATGATGTAGATTGAAATGATAGAAACCTATTTTTGGTTATTAAGTTACTTATTGTTTAGCTAATTTAAAGCTATTTAGTGTTTGAGTGCAAAAGCTACTTCAACATACAATTATGGTACGTGCTTAAGTACAGCTCTGTTTGGTGTGTATACCTCTTAAATGGACCATTTAAAAATTTTTGCTGAACTGGAGGGTGACAGTCAATACTTCTGCTAATAACTGCATTTCTTTCCTTTTAGGTCATGGCCAAGGAGGTCTTGAAATATGCCAAAGACTTATTCTTCCTACTGAACTGATCACTAGTCAGCAAGAATATTTTCA